AGTACCTGGTGCAGTGTGTGAACATCGCCACTGGGGAGACAAAGGCAGCTGGGCGTGGTTCTGGCCACCCACCCCCTCGTGCGCCGTGCCGGCCTTCATCGGTGCTAACTAACAGCACTTGCACCTACAGTCTAAAAATAATAATAAATAATAGAAATAATAATAGAAATAAAATAATAATATCTAATTATTTTAAGAGTGTGAATCCTTGCAGTCACGAAAGCTTCAAATCTAGAATCTACGGGCAGTGTTGAGTCTACGGGCAGTGTTGAGTCTATGGGTAGTGTTGAGTCTATGGGTAGTGTTAGTCTACTGGAAGTGTTGAGTCTATGGGTAGTGTTGAGTCTATGGGCAGTGTTGAGTCTATGGGTAGTGTTGAGTCTATGGGCAGTGTTGAGTCTATGGCCAGTGTTGAGTCTATGGGTAGTGTTGAGTCTATGGGTAGTGTTGAGTCTATGGGCAGTGTTGAGTCTGGATAGTGTTGAGTCTATGGGTAGTGTTGAGTATATGGTCAGTGTTGAGTCTATGGGTAGTGTTGAGTCTGGGTTGTGTTGAGTCTATGGGCAGTGTTGAGTCTGGATAGTGTTGAGTCTGGGTAGTGTTGAGTCTATGGGTAGTGTTGAGTCTATGGGCAGTGTTGAGTCTATGGGCAGTGTTGAGTCTATGGGTAGTGTTGAGTCTATGGGCAGTGTTGAGTCTATGGGTAGTGTTGAGTCTATGGGTGGTGTTGAGTCTATGGGTAGTGTTGAGTCTATGGGCGGTGTTGAGTCTATGGATAGTGTTGAGTCTATGGGTAGTGTTGAGTCTATGGGTAGTGTTGAGTCTATGGGTAGTGTTGAGTCTATGGCCGGTGTTGAGTCTATGGGCGGTGTTGAGTCTATGGATAGTGTTGAGTCTATGGGTAGTGTTGAGTCTATGGGTAGTGTTGAGTCTATGGGCAGTGTTGAGTCTATGGGTAGTGTTGAGTCTATGGGTAGTGTTGAGTCTATGGGTAGTGTTGAGTCTATGGGTAGTGTTGAGTCTATGGGCGGGGTTGAGTCTATGGGCGGTGTTGAGTCTATGGGCGGTGTTGAGTCTATGGGCAGTGTTGAGTCTATGGGTAGTGTTGAGTCTATGGGCGGTGTTGAGTCTATGGGCGGTGTTGAGTCTATGGATAGTGTTGAGTCTATGGGCAGTGTTGAGGCTATGGGCAGTGTTGAGTCTATGGGCAGTGTTGAGTCTATGGGCGGTGTTGAGTCTATGGGTCGTGTTAGTCTACGGGCAGTGTATATGTTGAAATTCTTTCGCACCATATGTGCTAATCGGAGGTGCGGGAAACCCTTCCCCCCCCCCCCCCCCCCGTGTCGCCCTCCTCCCTCCCTCCCGCAGGTCCATCGTGCACCTGGAGATCGACAACCGCTTCTGCATGAAGCCCAACGAGGAGTGCTTCTCGAGCTCAGCGGACGCGGCGGCGTACCTGGCGGCGCAGGCCGTGCACCACTCGCTCGACTTCCCATACCCCCTGCAGACGGTCGAAAGTACGGAGAGGCGGGGGGGGGGGGGCGGGGGTTCTCGAGGGAGGGGGGGGGGGTCCTTGTCGGCTGGACGCGCGCAATCAGCTGAACTAGTTTTGATTTTACTCTTTTAGATTTTTGCCAGGCAATGGTCCCGCTGAGTTCGCGTAGCTCTTTCTCAGACGCGAACTGGCCATCGCAAATCGTAGAGAGGGGGACACGCCAACTCCAAATATACAGCAGCGGGCGTCGGGGTTGGGATCGAACCCACGACCTCCTGTACACCAGGCGAGGGAGTTAACATCTCTTCCATCGCGGCGCCCCAATGGTTTATTGCCACCGCGCTGACCTCTTTCACCAGCATTACCGCATTGTCAGGATTATAAGGAGCACTTGTTTTTCTCCCAGCGTCTGTATTTCGTAACTTTATATTTTACAACCCGCTTTTCCGGGATGTGGAACGCTCCAAAAATGTTTTTATTAAAAACGACGTAAGTTCAGCTCGTGTTTTTGGCTCCAATTAAAAGAAAAATCTCATCGGCACCATTAACCAGGGCGGCCGCCGGGCTCGAACCGCCAACACTCACAAGCTGTCTCCGCCTCTCCCCCCCCCCCAGTACTGAACGAGCGCCCAGACCCCGGCTTCAACCCGCTCTACGCCGTGGGCATGGCCGTGGCCGCTTTGGCCGTGCTCGTCATCGGCATGGGGGTGCTCATCAAGGGCAAGCGGCGCCGGGAGCACGGCACGCTGTGGTTCCCCGAGGGGCTGGTGCTCACCTCCAAGGAGGGCGGCTCGGGCAGCAAGAAGCGGAGAGAGCCTGTCGGGCAGGACGCGCTGGGCCTCAAGTGAGTCGGTCCCCTCGTCATCGGTTCCCGGTTCTTGGCCTCGGATCGGGTTTGGCGATTCCAGATTACCCGCGTGTCTCCCCCACGTGTCTCCCATGTCCCCCGTGTGTCTCCCCCGTGTGTCTCTCCCCCCCGTGTGTCTCCCCCGCGTGTCTCCCACGTCCCTCGTGTGTCTCTCTCGTGTGTCTCTTCCGTGTCTCCCACGTCCCTCGTGTGTCTCTCTCGTGTGTCTCTTCCGTGTCTCCCACGTCCCTCGTGTCTCTCTCGTGTGTCTCTTCCGTGTCTCCCACGTCCCTCGTGTGTCTCTCTCGTGTGTCTCTCCCGTGTCTCTCCCCCCCGTGTGTCTCCCCCGTGTGTCTCCCCCACGTGTCTCCCACGTCCCTCGTGTGTCTCTCTCGTGTGTCTCTTCCGTGTCTCTCCCCCCCGTGTGTCTCCCCCACGTGTCTCCCCCGCGTGTCTCCCATGTCCCCCGTGTGTCTCCCCCGTGTGTCTCCCCCACGTGTCCCTCACGTCCCTCGTGTGTCTCTCCCGTGTCTCTCCCCCCCGTGTGTCTCCCAGGTGTGTCTCCCCCACGTGTCTCCCCCGCGTGTCTCCCACGTCCCTCGTGTGTCTCTCCCGTGTGTCTCCCCCCCGTGTGTCTCCCCCCCGTGTGTGGTTAACATCTCCTTGCCACCGTGGCATTCGGGTCCAGGATGGAACCCACGACCTCCTGTGTACCAGGCGAGGTGGTTAACATCTCCTAGCCACCATGGCATTCGGGTCCAGGATGGAACCCACGACCTCCTGTGTACCAGGCGAGGTGGTTAACATCTCCTAGCCACCGTGGCATTCGGGTCCAGGATGGAACCACGACCTCCTGTGTACCAGGCGAGGTGGTTAACATCTCCTAGCCACCGTGGCATTCGGGTCTAGGATGGAACCCACGACCTCCTGTGTACCAGGCGAGGTGGTTAACATCTCCTAGCCACCGTGGCATTCGGGTCCAGGATGGAACCCACGACCTCCTGTGTACCAGGCGAGGTGGTTAACATCTCCTAGCCACCGTGGCATTAGGATCCAGGATGGAACCCACGACCTCCTGTGTACCAGGCGAGGTGGTTAACATCTCCTAGCCACCGTGGCATTAGGATCCAGGATCGAACCCACGACCTCCTGTGTACCAGGCGAGGTGGTTAACATCTCCTAGCCACCGTGGCATTAGGATCCAGGATGGAACCCACGACCTCCTGTGTACCAGGCGAGGTGGTTAACATCTCCTAGCCACCATGGCATTCGGGTCCAGGATGGAACCCACGACCTCCTGTGTACCAGGCGAGGTGGTTAACATCTCCTAGCCACCGTGGCATTAGGATCCAGGATGGAACCCACGACTTCCTGTGTACCAGGCGAGGTGGTTAACACCTCCTAGCCACCGTGGCATTCGGGTCCAGGATGGAACCACGACCTCCTGTGTACCAGGCGAGGTGGTTAACATCTCCTAGCCACCGTGGCATTCGGGTCTAGGATGGAACCCACGACCTCCTGTGTACCAGGCGAGGTGGTTAACATCTCCTAGCCACCGTGGCATTCGGGTCCAGGATGGAACCACGACCTCCTGTGTACCAGGCGAGGTGGTTAACATCTCCTAGCCACCGTGGCATTCGGGTCCAGGATGGAACCCACGACCTCCTGTGTACCAGGCGAGGTGGTTAACATCTCCTAGCCACCGTGGCATTCGGGTCCAGGATGGAACCCACAACCTCCTGTGTACCAGGCGAGGTGGTTAACATCTCCTAGCCACCGTGGCATTCGGGTCCAGGATGGAACCCACGACCTCCTGTGTACCAGGCGAGGTGGTTAACATCTCCTAGCCACCGTGGCATTCGGGTCCAGGATGGAACCCACGACCTCCTGTGTACCAGGCGAGGTGGTTAACATCTCCTAGCCACCGTGGCAAGATGTTAACTGCCCAGGTACGTGGCGTGAAATTTCTCCCGACTGTGACTGGAGATAAATAGAGGTGGCAGCAGTGGGCACGGCGACGGGGCCTTGTTGTTGTTGTTTGCGAGCGCCTCTCCTTAACCTCCCCCGACCCCCCCCCCAACAGACACCTGAAGCACGCGGAGGGGCTGATGGACGACAATCAGAACGAACACTGGCTGAGCGACGACGGAATTCCGCCGAGCAAGCGCCTCCACGTGAGTGCACAGGGGCGGCTGCCGCTGGGGGTGCCCCCCCCCCCCCCACACACAAACAATCGTTGCCCCCGACCTACTCGCTCCTCTAAACTAAAATTTTATTTTTACTAAACGTTGTGTTTTAGCAGGGTAAGGCCCCCCCCACTGAGCTATGTAGATCTTTTTCAGAAGCGACTCTGGCTATCACGAATGATGGCTCAACGAAGTGACTCGTCGTCGTCATCGCCATCATCATCTCTGTCTTTGCCGCAGGCCGAGGAACAGGCCATGCTGGCTGGGGGGCCCCGCGTGGCCGACCCCGTCGACCCGAGGCCCTGGACCCTGCAGCACCTGGAGGCGGCCGACATCCGCATGCCGCCCGCGCTCGCCCTCACGCCACAGGGCGACCTCGACTCGGATTGCATGGACGTGAACGTGCGAGGGCCCGGTACGCGGGACTGGGCGGGGGGCACCGGGGGGGGGGGGGCACGTGACTGCTTGTGGTGGTGTGTGGTGGTGGTGGTGGTGTGTGGTGTGTGGTGGTGGTGTGTGGGTGGTGGTGGGTGGTGGGTGGTGTTGGTGTGGTGGTGTGTGGTGTGTGGTGGTGGTGTGTGGGTGGTGGTGTGTGGTGTGTGGTGGGTGGTGTGTGGTGGGTGGTGGGTGGTGGGTGGTGGTGGTGGGTGGTGGTGGTGTGTGGTGGGTGGTGTGGTGGGTAATGATGGAGGGTGGTGAATGGTGGTGGGTGGTGGTGGTGGGTAATGATGGAGGGTGGTGAATGGTGGTGGGTGGTGGTGGTGGGTAATGATGGAGGGGGGTGAATGGTGGGGGGTGGTGGTGGTGGGTAATGATGGAGGGTGGTGAATGGTGGTGGTGGTGGGTAATGATGAAGGGTGGTGGTGGTGGTGGGTAATGATGGAGAGTGGTGAAGGGTGGTGGTGGTGGGTAATGATGGAGGGTGGTAATGGAGGGTGGCGGTGAAAACGAATGTGAACTTCTTTTGCACCGTACGTAGCCAACTGTACGTATGGTGGTAACAGTGCTGCTGCTGTGGTGATGGTGGTGGTGGTGCTAATGGTGGTTGGTTGGTAGTGCTGGCTCCGCTACAAACCCAAGCGACCCGAGTTCGATTCCCCGCTCACGGGCTAACACCAGGGACGATTATCTGAACCAATCCTGGGCCTCACCTAGGTCGACTCGGCCTCATTTGAGTACCTGGCGTGGTGTGTAAACATCACCACTAGGGAGACAAAGGCGGCCGGGCGTGGTGCTGGCCACCCAACCCCCCTCGTTTGCCGTGCCGGCCTTTGTAGGTGCTTCTCGCTAACAGCACTTGCCCCAACAGTCTGTTAAAGGCTACGCGGGGGATCTTTGTCTTTGATAGCGCTGGCTGTAGCGGTGGTTGCAGTTATGTCCATAATCACGACAACGATCATTTAATTTAAATTAATTTAAATTAATTGCAACTTCGTTTGACGCGCGGGGGCTTCCCCAACCAATATTCATAATAAAGGTTTTTGGGTTCGATCCCGGAAGTATGAATGTCTCCTTGACAGACCTGTTCTTCACCTGAAGACGGCTGCTTGCGTTGTGGCCGAAACATCGTGAGAATTATTTTATTATGTTTTATTTTTATTGTTTTAATAATTTCTTTCTACGTGACTTTACCGAAAGAACCAAGAAGAGAAATATGAATGTGTCGTTAAACCCGCCACCACCCGACACAGCCGACCAGTGAGGTTTGTCACGTGAACAGAGCGTGCCATGTGGTTGCTCCATCAGCCCACCAGTGTGTTGGAGAGTAAGTCCACAATTTCCGTACAAACCTTACTGATTTGCTGTTCACCATTGGTAAATGCTTACCCCGAGCTCTCATACTCTGATGGTGCATTGTGAGTTGTCCGCCTTTTGGCGTCATCTCATCCAACCCATGTGAGACTAGGCTCTAAGGAAAGCTGTCTCGGGTGTGGACCAATCAACTTCAAGGACAGTGCATACATTATCAGAGTTATTTTTTTTTTTGCATTCCGACTGCAGGTATTGTGGTCTATGCAAACATGACTCCTCGTAAAAAAGGTGTCAGTGTTTGTTGCCAGATAAAAGGGTAAAAAACCAATCATCATACTTGGCTGTTGTCGAATGGTGGCAGGTTAATGACGCACACTTGCTCGACCTCGCCCACAAACCCTCATCACGAATGACAACCTTGACGTCATGTCCCTAACCACGCCCCCCCCCCCCCCACGCCCCACGCTCTGCAACAGACGGATTCACGCCGCTCATGCTGGCGTCATTCAGGGGCGGGGGCCTGGATTCTGGCGCCCCAGACGAAGACGAGCAGTCCCTGCTGCTCCTGCAACAGCAACAGCAGCAGCAGCAGCAGCGCTACGACGAACCGGTGGAAGAGGGCGGCGCATCAGCCAGCGTCATCACCGATCTCATCTTCCAGGTAAGCAAGCGGCTCAATCGGTCGCGGGTCAACCAATCGGATCGCTCGCCCCGTCGAGGTGGGACCCTCAGAGGTAGCTCGGACGGTGAGATGCTGGATGCCAACCACGGGGATTACGCCGGTGGTGGTGGGGGTTCTCTAGTGCAGCGAGTTGATGGTCAAGTCGGTTTGTTTTTGGTGAGCACGTGGCACCTTGTGTTGAAGCAAGTCTGCCACCCAGCGCGTAGCCACAGAGACCCCCACCGGCAAACAACAAAACCAGGACCATGAGACCTCCTTTGCCAGTAGCAAGATATAGTAATAGTTTTTTACCCTTTTATCTGGCAACAGAACTGACGCCTTTATACAAGGGGTCATGTTTGCATTAACCACAACGCTTGCGGTCAAAATGTCTTTGAGTTGTGCGCCTTTTGGCGTCATCTGGTCCAACACCATGTGAGACGGGTGTGGACCAATCAACTTCAAGGACAGTGGGTACATTATCAGAGTTGTGTTTTTTGTTTGCATTATGACCGCAGGTATTGTGGTCTATGGAAACATGACTCCTCGTAAAAAAAGGTGTCAGTTTTGTTGCCAGATAGAAGGGTAAAAAACCAATTATCATATTTTTTACTGACAAATGAGGTTCCAATGATGATTCCTTGTATAAAGGTGTCAGTTTTGTTGCCAGATAAAAGGGTAAAAACCTATTACTATAAAACCAGGACCCTGAACTCCTCCGCCCCACTCCACGTCCCTCCCCTCGGAGCTTCTCCCACGTCTCCCAATGTTTCCCCTTCTGGCTCCACGATCCTCTGCTCCATCCCACGTCTTCCAATGTTTTCTCTTCTCGCTCCACGATCCTCTGCTCCATCCCACGTCTTCCTCCCCTGCTGTCCCCTCTCTCTCTCCTCCGCGCAAATCCTCTCTCCTCCTTTTCTCTCCCTCCTCCTCACCTCCTCCTCACCTCCTCGCCACCTTCCTCCTGCGCAGGGCGCGTCGCTGCAGGCCCAGACGGACCGCACGGGGGAGACGGCGCTGCACCTGGCCGCTCGCTACGCCCGCGCCGACGCCGCCAAGCGTCTCCTCGACGCCGGCGCCGACGCCAACATCCCGGACAACATGGGGCGCACGCCGCTGCACGCCGCCGTCGCGGCCGACGCGCAGGGCGTGTTCCAGGTGAGCTGCGTGCGGGTTCGAGACCCCGTCGTGGGCAGCGGTGGCTAGATGTTGACTACGTCGCCTGGTGTACAGGAGGTCGTGGGTTCGATCCTGACCCTGACGCCTGCTGCTGTATATTTGGAGTTTGCGTCTCTCTCTCATCATCATCACGGTGGATAGGAGATGTTGACTACGTCGCCTGGTGTACAGGAGGTCGTGGGTTTGATCCCGACCCTGACGCCTGCTGCTGTATATTTGGAGTTTGCGTCTCTCTCTTATCATCATCACGGTGGCTAGGAGATGTTAACTACCTCGCCTGGTATACAGGAGGTCGTGGGTTCGATCCCGACCCTGACGCCTGCTGCTGTATATTTGGAGTTTGCGTCTCTCTCTTATCATCATCACGGCGGCTAGGAGATGTTAACTACCTCGCCTGGTGTACAGGAGGTCGTGGGTTCGATCCCGACCCTGACGCCTGCTGCTGTATATTTGGAGTTTGCGTCTCTCTCTTATCATCATCACGGTGGCTAGGAGATGTTAACTACCTCGCCTGGTGTACAGGAGGTCGTGGGTTCCATCCCGACCCTGATGCCTGCTGCTGTATATTTGGAGTTTGCGTCTCTCTCTCATCATCATCACGGTGGCTAGGAGATGTTAACTACCTCGCCTGGTACACAGGAGGTCGTGGGTTCAATCCCGACCCTGTGACGCCTGCGGCTGCTGTATATTTGGTCGCGTGGTTTTATCTCCGGGTCCTCCGGTTTTTCCCTCCACACTTAGAATCGAGATCACGCGTTTCAAGTAATTGGCTGCTGTAAATTTCCACACGACGACGATGATGATGATGAGCCACTTGGTCGAGCTATCATTTGTGATGGCGAGGTCGCTTCCGAAAAGAGCTCCATAGCTCAGTGGGCCTGACCTGATGAAATAAAAATAAATGTAATTAAACAAAAAAATATTGTAATTGATAATTGTTTTTTTACCCTTCTATCTGGCTCAGGGTAAGCATTTACACTCATACTCTGATGGTGCATTGTCTTTGAGTTGTGCGCCTTTTGGCGTCATCTGGTCCAACACCATGTGAGACTAGGCTCTAAGGAAAGCTGTCTCGGGTGTGGACCAATCAACTTCAAGGACAGTGCATATATTATCAGAGTTATGTTTTTTGTTTGTATTATGACTGCAGGTATTGCGGTCTATGCAAACATGACTCCTTGTAAAAAGGTGTCAGTTTTGTTGCCAGATAGAAGGGTAAAAAACCAATTATCATATTTTACTGGCAAATGAGGTTTCCCATGGTGAAAAAAAATATTTTTCATCTTTTTTTTTTCGCCATAAAAGCTTCATCCCAGAATGTCCTCCTTCTCCTCCTCCCCCGTGTCACACGACTTGCACCGCATCGTGCGCTCCAACCTCACCCCCCCGTGACCTTCCCCGTGACCCCCTCCCTCCCGCCCGCCCACGGTAGATCCTGATCCGCAACCGGGCGACGGACCTGGACGCACGCATGCAGGATGGTACGACCGCCATGGTGCTGGCGGCACGTCTCGCCGTCGAGGGCATGGTGGAGGAGCTGGTGAACAGCCACGCCGATGTCAACGCCGTCGATGACCACGGTACAAACACTATCAAATACACTTTCAAACACACTATCAGATTCACTATCAGATACGCTATCAGATTCACTATCAAATACACTTTCAAACACACTATCAGATTCACTATCAGATACGCTATCAGATTCACTATCAAATACACTATCAAACACACTATCAGATTCACTATCGGATACGCTATCAGATTCACTATCAAATACACTTTCAAACACACTATCAGATTCACTATCGGATACGCTATCAGATTCACTATCAAATACACTATCAAACACACTCTCAGATTCGCTATCGGATACGCTATCAGATTCACTATCAAATACACTTTCAAACACACTATCAAATTCACTATCGGATACGCTATCAGATTCACTATCAAATACACTATCAAACACACTATCAGATTCACTATCGGATACGCTATCAGATTCACTATCAAATACACTTTCAAACACACTATCAGATTCACTATCGGATACGCTATCAGATTCACTATCAAATACACTTTCAAACACACTATCAGATTCACTATCGGATACGCTATCAGATTCACTATCAAATACACTTTCAAACACACTATCAGATTCACTATCGGATACGCGATCAGATTCACTATCAAATACACTTTCAAACACACTATCAGATTCACTATCAGATACGCTATCAGATTCACTATCAAATACACTTTCAAACACACTATCAGATTCACTATCAGATACGCTATCAGATTCACTATCAAATACACTTTCAAACACACTATCAGATTCACTATCGGATACGCTATCAGATTCACTATCAAATACACTTTCAAACACACTATCAAATTCACTATCGGATACGCTATCAGATTCACTATCAAATACACTTTCAAACACACTATCAGATTCACTATCAGATACGCGATCAGATTCACTATCAAATACACTTTCAAACACACTATCAGATTCACTATCAGATACGCTATCAGATTCACTATCAAATACACTTTCAAACACACTATCAGATTCACTATCGGATACGCTATCAGATTCACTATCAAATACACTTTCAAACACACTATCAAATTCACTATCGGATACGCTATCAGATTCACTATCAAATACACTATCAAACACACTATCAGATTCACTATCGGATACGCTATCAGATTCACTATCAAATACACTTTCAAACACACTATCAGATTCACTATCGGATACGCTATCAGATTCACTATCAAACACACTATCAGATTCACTATCGGATACGCTATCAGATTCACTATCAAATACACTTTCAAACACACTATCAGATTCGCTATCGGATACGCTATCAGATTCACTATGAGTGCCATACTCTTTGCTCACCCCACACCCCGCCCGCCCCCGTTGGCTGTGCGCGCCGGCAGGCAAGTCGGCGCTGCACTGGGCTGCTGCCGTGAACAACGTCGAGGCGACGCTCATTCTGCTCAAGAATGGCGCCAACAAGGACATGCAGGACTGCAAGGTGAGTCGCCTCACTACCCCCACCCCACCCCACCCCCCGGCTCTCGCAAATGATAGGTCCACAAAGTGGCTCACCGTCATCATCATCGTCGCGCGGAAATGTATACCAGCAGCCAGATGCTCTGAACGCGTGACGTTGATTCTAAATGTGGAGGTGAAAAAGCGGAGAAGCCGGAGAAAAATCCACGCGACCACGGGGAGAGAGAGAGATACCGCAAACTCCAAATATACAGCAGCAGGCGTCAGGGTGGGGATCGAACCCACGACCTCCTGCACACCAGGCGAGGTAGTTAGCATCTCCTAGCCACCGTGATGATGATGAGAGAGAGAGACACGCAAACTCCAAATTTACAGCAGCAGGCGTCAGGGTGGGGATCGAACCCACCACCTCCTGTACACCAGGCGAGGTAGTCAACATCTCGCCTATCGCTCCACAGGAGGAGACGCCCCTCTTCCTGGCGGCACGGGAGGGCAGCTTCGAGGCGGCGCGCCTCCTGCTGGAGCACCACGCCAACCGCGAGATCACCGACCACCTGGACCGGCTGCCTCGCGACATCGCCCAGGAGCGGCACCACCACGACATCGTCCGTCTGCTCGACGACTTCACCGGCGCCGCCGCCGCTGCCGCCGCCGCCGCGGCCGCCGCCGCCGCCCACATGCGCAGCCCGGGCCTCATGGTCGGGAGCGGCCAGGGCCCGCTCGGTTCGCCGTCGTCGGCGGCGCAGATGTGCGGCGGGGGTGGGGCGGCCATGGGCATGGCTATGGGAATGGGCCTCGGCTTCCTGCCCATGAAGCAGCAGATGCAGCAGCAGCAGCAGACGCCGCAGGGGAAGAAGGCACGGAGGCCGAGCAGCAGCAAAGGGGGGACGCCCAGCGGCAAGGACGGCAAGGGCAAGAAGCTGAAAGGTATAACGGCGGTGGTGGTGGTGGTGCCGGTGGTGGTGATGGTGGTGGTGAGGTTTAGTGATCGTGACGGCGGGTGGTGATTGATGGTGATGGTGGTGATGGTGGTGGTGGGGTATAATGATCGTGGTGGCGGGTGGTGATTGGTGGTGGTGGGGTTTAGTGATCATGGTGGCGGTGGTTTTGGTGATGGTGGTTTTGGTGATGGTGGTGGTAGGGTTTAGTGATCGTGGTAGCGGTGGTTTTGGTGGTGGTGGTTTTGGTGGTGGCGTTAATAGAGGGGCAGAGGGGCAACGCTCACAACAACGAGCGTTGTCGCCGGGGCGGCTAAAACACAGCAAGTTGGCACAGGTGGTGCATCGGCCAATCGTCTCAGTTGGTCCACCGATGGCACCTGGGTCTGTCCCGTGACCTGCCAGCGGGCATTTGACACTTCACGTGGCCTCAAAGTGCGCATAGCCCGGCACAAGCGACGTGGTGACATCAACCGCCTCTTAGTGGCGAATGACGGTTGTTGTGTCTATGGTGACCAGTTGTAGTTGTGGGTGTGGTAGTGATGGCGGTTGTGGTGGTGGTAATGGCGGTTGTGGTGGTGGTGGTGGTAATGGCGGTTGTGGTGGTGGTGGTAATGGCGGTTGTGGTGGTGGTGGTGATGTTCTCTGGTCTGACACTGGTCGAGAGGCTTCGCCATAAAGAAGGCTGCCGATGTCAATCAGTTTCAAAGACGATGCACCACATGTTAGTATCAGAGGCCATGTTTGTGTTTGCATGTTCAACAGAAGGACTGTGCGTGTGGGTTCCTTGCAAAAGGTTTCTATTTGGCGTTTGAACATCTCAACGGCTGTTTTATTGCCTAAAAGGGTAAAAAAAACACCTGTTATTCTATTTTCAGTCTTTGACACTGGGCACAAAAAAGGAGGTCCCATTTCAGAGCCACATCCACGACACTCCACTCCACTCCACTCACCGCTCCCCCCACCCTCCCCTCCCCGGCTCCTCTCCGCTCGGCAGGGAAACCGGACGGCAAATCGCGCCCGCTGGTCTCTCTGGACGGCGTGCTGAGCCCTCCCCTCGAGTCGCTCGAGTCTCCCGCCGCCTCCTACTCGTCGGACAACATGTCGCCCCCGCTGCTCACGCCGCCAGCCCTGCTGCACTCCTCGCCGCAGCAGCAGCTGCACGGCGCCGGCGCCGTCCTCCTGGCGGACGGCGGAGCCGGCGCGTCGCTCTACGACGGCCCGCGTCTCTCGCACCCGCCGCTCGGCCACCACCTCCACCTGCAGCACCAGCAGCAGCAGCAGTTGTTGCTGCAGGGCGCCGGCGCGGGGTACGACGGCATGGGGGGCGTGGGTGGCGGCGATTGGCTGAGCACCGTCCCTTCGATCGCCATGCAGCAGCAGCAGCAGCACCTGCAGCATCACCACCTGCAGCAGCAGCAGCAACAGCAGCAGCAGCACATGTTTGCACAGGCGACGGTCATTCCTGGTATGGCCGCGCGATCCGCTCCGAGCCTGCAGCGCATGCGTTCCATTCCCGGCACCGGCATCGCCATGATGCCTTGCCAGCAGGTCGGCCTGCAACAGCAGCAGCAACAGCAACAGCAGCAGCTGCAACAGCAGCAGCAGCAGCAACAGCAGCAGCAGCAGCAGCACCTCCAGCCGGTGGTGCAGCAACAGCACCAGATTCAGCTGCAGCACCAGATGCACATGCACCAGCGGCAGCTGCAGTCGATGCAGCAGCAGCAACAGCAGCTGCAGCAGCAGATGGTGGCGCAGCAGCACCACCTGCAGGTGCTGCAGCGGCAACACAGCAGCCTGAGCACCGGCGGCAGCAACGGCGGCAACAACGGCGGCAACAACGGCGGTAACATCGGCGCCGGCGGTAACTTTTGCAAGACGGAGCCCAGCCTCATGCAACCGCATATGGGGCCCGACGCGGTCCTGTCGGCGGTGCCGGGGGCGGCCGGCGTTGGCACCGGCGGCGGCGGATCGATGGTGGACAAGTACCCAACTCCGCCGTCCCAGCACAGCTACGGGGGATCTCCGCACGACGCCGGCATCGGAGGTGGCTCCGGCGCGACCGGCGGCAACGGCGGCGGCAACGCGGGCGGAGGAGGAGGTGGAGGTTTGGCGTCGGCGCTCGGTTTTGCCGATCTCGCCTACCTCACGCCGTCGCCGGACTCGCCGGAGGCGTGGTCGAGTTCCTCGCCCCGCTCCGCGTCCGATTGGTCGGAGGGGATCCAGAGCCCGCCCACCGAGCCAATGGGCATGGTCGGAGGGGCGGCCGCCGCCATCATGACCTAGCGGGGGGGGGGGGGGGGGGGGCAAGGCCCCGACGCCCGGCACCTGTAGGTGGAGGGGGCGGTACAGGAAGTAGGTTGTTGTTGTGTGGAGGTGGGGGGGGGTTGTTGGGCCCGGCTGGGATGGTGACAGGGGTGGTGGGAAGGGGCCACCTGCCATCATGACTTGCTGCCAGCCGGGGGGGAGTGCTCTGCTATGATAGGCTGTCGGCAGTACGGAAAGTAGGTTGGGTTTTTTTTTTTAGTATTTTCTCCACGCACCCATCTGTGCAGTGGGGTTTCCTCGCTGATGGGTGGCCCATCTTATCGTCTTGACCTAAACAACATCTGGCCAGTACGGAACATAGGCGGTGGATGATTATTACTACGGCTGCGTGCTCGAGTATAATGTTGGGGTTCTCTACGGTTGCCTACGCGCGCGAAGCCGTAGCCGCCCGCCCGCCTCCACGGCGGAATTCGTTGCACAAACATTCGCAGCGTCCTCCCGAGAAGAAGAGTCCTCGAGACTCTGCGAGGCTCTCATCCCCGGCTGAATAAAAGGACGTAATTTGTTTTTTAAGCAACGTGTGATCAGCCTACGCGACGCGACGAGGGTTCGCAAGCTTTGACCCCAACCGCAACGCAACTCCTCGCCGATGGGCGGTCGACAACCTCTCCTGCCACGTCCGTTACGGCAACCCCTCGGTTGACATCCGGACCTCCGTCACGACACCCTCCCCCCCGACCAACGTCGGTCGGCCGTGGTCACTCCACTGCTGGATCAAGGGGCCCCAGGATGCGTTCTCGGTCCGCGCGCGCGCTAAATAACGAGATGGTTCCATAACCCGCGGCACGGTGTCGCGCGTACGTACGAACAAACGCGTTGACGCACGCCTGTCCTGAACGCTGTGGTCTTAAGCTCGATGTTGCCTTGCGGCAGTTTGGTCCACGGCTGGTGGTCGCCCCCCCGCCCAACGCCTTTCGACGGTGAGCGGTGGGGGGGGGGTGGAAAAAAATGAAACTACATTCCTGTGACGCCTCCTAAAACCCTTTGTCTTAAACAGCAAGCGGAGAACTCCTGCGCTGAGGAATTAGATTGGCAAAGGCGCAGGCCTGCAAGTGCTTTGCCCTCGAGCCACTGCTGGCGGGGAAAGTGCCGCCAGTTATGAGGGAGTTCTAAAGGGGGGGGGGGACCCCCCTCATCTCTCGAGGGCGTTTTGGTTGCCTCTTGTTGGCCAGGCAATGGGTGGGGGGGGGGGGGGGGGGGGGGTTACCCACACACCATTCCGTTGACCTGCCAAATCTAAACGATTCTTTTAAAATGTATTTCTTGTTATTTTTTTAACCAGCTAAAGAAGGCCCCACTGAGCTCTCTACGTAGCTGTTTTACAGAAGCCGCCCTGGCCAAATGGGGAGCTCAACCATGTGGCCGGTCGTCGTCGTCATCGTCGTCGTGTGTAAATGTATTGCAGCGGCCACGTACTCTGAACCCGCGTGACGTTGATTATAAATGTGGAGGGGGGAAAGAACACCGGAGGAGCCGGAGAAAAAAAAAATCCACGCGACCACGGAGAGAGACACGCAAACTCCAAATATACATCAGCAGCAGGCGTCAGGGTCTGGATCGAACTCGCGACCTCCTGTAGACCAGGCGAGGTAGTTAACATCTCCTCGCCACCGTGATGACGATGATGAGAGACGCAAACTCCAAATATACAGCAGCAGGCGTCAGGGTCTGGATAGAACTCGCGACCTCCTGCGTACCAGGCGAGGTCGTTAACATCTCCTAGCCATCGTGGCACAGTGAACCCATGGTGGGTGGTGGGGGATTTAAGAAACTAGGCACCGTTGATTCAACTGCCCGGCCCAGATCACGGAATCGAACCTGTGTTTTAAGTATACGCGCGTGCACCGCTAATTACCGACGTCTCGGCTATACGAATTATGCAGTACGTGCAGTGTAATGTCTTAATGCCTCCTTATGTGAACTCACGAAAACATTGACGGTGTGCGTGTGCGTTGTCAAACATCGGGTTGCGATGCACGGACGTAAGATATATTTGTTGCTGTTTCGAAGACTTTTTGGGGGGTGAAAACAGATTTGCTCAATAGTGACCCGATTGTAAACTTCACACATTTTATTTTGATTTCTTTCTTACAAGGGGTATTTGACCACACTTTGCTTCGTTTCTCAGTGCTGGTCTGCGAGATGGTCAGAGGGTTAAGGGGTGGGGGGGGGGCCATAGATGCCGTGGCGTAGTACGGTCCAACAACGCATCGTTTGCGCCGACGGCATTTTAACGCAGCTGCCTTGCCAGTGGCAGCGCCAAACAAACGACTCACATTCGTCAATAACAACGCCTTGAAGATAAAGTATACTTAAGAATAGGCGACGTTTCAGGCACCACCGGGCCTTCTTAATGACTCATCACTGAAGAAGAGCCATTGCCCGAAACGTCGTCTGTTAACGTTGTTCCTTTTAGGCTGCGCGGTGTCACTGGGGAAATGGTTTTGAGCGTTTTGTTGTACTTGAGAAGCCCTCTTAACCACGGCAATCGGTTCCACGAAAGCGTCCGTGAAGCGATTTGCTCGTTAAGCGAGTCTAAGAAACGCACGTTCAAGGCTCAGTTCATTCGGATGCCATCGAAAGTTTACCCGCCCCCCCCCCCCTCCTTTTTCACCCAAAAAAACGTACTTTATAACATTTAAACGATGGATATGAATGCATAAAGACACTAACAGCATTGTAAACGCATGATATTAAAGAAACGTGTTTACTAAGCGAACACACACAGCTCTATGGAGGCCTGTCATTAAGCGATGAGTCGTTAAGAGGGGTTCCCATGTACTCTAAAACGCTCACACGGGCAACGTAATCTCATAAAGGCGAACTGGAATTTAATAAATGACCTTGTTTTTTTTAAAGAAATTGAAAAATCACGACTTAAAAAAAAGACGATCTATTTTATAACTCAAAGCGAGCGTGGCTGGGCTGAGCCCTATAGACAAGCTTCCATGTACCCCGCTATTTACACCTCCCCCCCCCCCCCCCCCCCCCCCCCATATCTTTAAATGAATTAAGTTGAAACATCTAATCTCGTTCAATGCTACGCAGTACAATGTTGCATATCCGCCTCGCTGGGGATTTCAGGTACAGGGACTACCGCTACTTACGAACGAGTTAGATTCCAGAGGTCTGTTCGTAAGTCGATTTGTTCATAAGTCCAACTTTACTTTCGGCGATTCCAAACGTGTTGTACGGCGTGTACACTAAACACGGGGGGATGGCTTTAAAAGTCGTATAATCTCCTGTAGATGCCACTGGTTCTTCACGTTCTGCAGAAGTAGATGCCACTGGTTCTTCACTTTCTGCAGATGTAGATGCCACTGGTTCTTCACGTTCTGCAGATGTAGATGCCACTGGTTCTTCACGTTCTGCAGATGTAGATGCCACCGGTTCTTCACGTTCTGTAGATGTAGATGCCACTGGTTCTTCACGTTCTGTAGATGTAGATGCCACTGGTTCTTCACGTTCTGCAGATGTAGATGCCACTGGTTCTTCACGTTCTGCAGATGTAGATGCCACTGGTTCTTCACTTTCTGCAGATGTAGATGCCACTGGTTCTTCACTTTCTGCAGATGTAGATGCCACTGGTTCTTCACTTTCTGCAGATGTAGATGCCACTGGTTCTTCACGTTCTGCAGATGTAGATGCCACTGGTTCTTCCATGTTCTGCAGATGAGATGCCACCACCGCCATCTATTGCACGGCGGTGAACTCGCGACCCTCGGTCCAAACGGGCAACTGGACATACGGACCGGTTTGTTCGTGTCTCCGAAAAGTTCACGAGTCGAACAGTTATAAGTGGAGAGAGAGTCCTGTCTAAGCGGGGATGGTGGGTGAACCCGGTTGGATGTACGAACACATTTAATAAAGTGGGACAAGTCATTCGGTGGACGTTGCTACTGCTGCTGCTGCTGCCCCTGAGCGCAAGCAATGAGCACGGTGTCCACGATTTGCGACTCCTTTTTAACAACTAGCTGAGTGGGGACCTTAAAAGGACAATCAGCGATCCACTTAGCACATCCTAGACACGAGGCGGACGTTTAGAGCGGTGATACCTTGTCCGTGGCTCAAGGAATTGACATTGTCACCCCCCCCCACCCCCCCTCGGAGGGAGGGCGGTTATCCGATCGGGGCGGATACGCGACGTTCCGTACCAGCACGCTCCGCCGCTGAGGGGTTTACTTTTTACGTCTGTCTTTCACATCGGCAAGAGCCGGAATTTTTGCTTTTTAAACTTGTTTCATTTCCGGATTTTTCTTTTTTTCGTTTGTTACTTTTTTTTTAGCTTTTTTTTAAAATATAAATCACCGCTCACCAGGCACTCTTCAATGATATTATTTATAATCTATTTAAAAAAAGTGATGGGTTCTTTTTGTTTTAACCGACTTGGTGTTAAGGTTTATATTACACCGTTTTCGTTTCACGTTATAGCACCACACGATACACAAACACCTTAAGTTTCCACGTCGTAGATTTTAGTTCACTGCCCCTCGTTTTTTTTATAAATAATTTATACCGTGTGTGTGTTTTTTATACCGTCGGTTCGTCTAGACAGTTGAGCTTTTATAGCGACAAAATGTGATTAATATTTCCGATTAGTACGGTCGGCTAGAGTGTACAATACGTTTTAAAGACTTATTACAATGACGTGAGGTTGGAAGGGGGATCATGTCTGAGGTTCAAAGTTCATTGATTAGGTGTAGCCCTGTGAGCCATTCGGCTCTTGAATCGGGTGCAATACCGCAACAAACAAAAAAACATAGAACAAGAAAACATCTTAAATGTGAACCGAGTGCAAACAGAAAATCCAAGAAAAAAACCGCAAAATATTGCAGAAAAAAATCACCGTACACCAACCTGTGCAAATATCCTAGTGGGGACTGCAAGTCGGGGGGGGGGGGGGGGCCCCCTCGTGTGTTTGGCATGTGTACCACGTGTGTACGCCTAACGATGAACTCAGTCAC